TCAGTCGGCATCACAACCAGGAAGACACACATGAGAGAACTTCAGCTCTCAGATAGATTTTTTTCTTCTGAAAATGATTTTACATTTCTTTAATTACCAATATAATGTAATTAAAATTTGAACACTGTTATTGGGCTAATTAATCAAACAGTCAGCGCATACTGTAGAAGTTTTGTTAAAAGATTTATCATTCCACTTCAAAACTAACCACTCGGCAACTTCTGACGTTAAAGTACATTACTTCTGAATTTAATGTATAGCTTTTTCGACTAATGAAGGTTACCAGAAATTATCCTTTGTTCACACAGGGGAATAAAACTGAGGGCAAAAGGAAGCAGATTTTATTTCTGCCCCAAGTAAGTCGAACGTCATCTTGTAAACTCTTTTTTTCCAGGACAGTTTTCGTCAAATTACAAGATAACTATTGGAGCCGATTTCTCAATCAAATCCTTGCAATGGGACGAACAGACGAAGATAAACCTACAGCTCTGGTGAGTGCGGAGATTAAAACAAATAAATATTTAATTAAATGAGTGAAGTGATAATTGCTTTAAAAATGAAATGAGGAAACCATGTTAGCATTCTTGAATAGTGATGTGTTTGTGTTATTGAAAAGCTAGAGAGACAGAGACGGAGGGGTCTCTATTACTGGCATTGAAAAGCGGTAAACAAACACAGGCTTTATCATATTTATGTAAACTAGTAACCTGGAAGGTAGCTGTGGTTCATGGAATCAGTGTTATTATGGAGCATACGATCGATTTTTCCATAATGCTTCTTTTGGAAGTCAAGGGAGATTGCAGACAACAGGCTACAGCCTTCTACGAAACGAGGGGGTATGAGGAAGACTAAATTACTGATTTTTTTTCATAGTTCCACGTCTCTTCCTTTAGCTGCTAGGCCCTAGGAGACATTTATGAGGATGATTTTTGAAAAGGGTGGTCTGAGTAGAAATATCTAGTTCGTCATGCCTCTCATTTCACCTGCATTCCATAGAGAACTTGTTACCTCAACGTGTAATGGCTCTGACGTCTGTTATGGACATATGCATATTGTTCGAATCCTGAACTGACAATGGCTTTTCTTATGTTCCTAGCCTTTTTCTCCAATCCTTCCAGGATACTGTGAGACAATACCTTGAAATAGACCACGACCGCTTCTTTTCATATCTGTTTCAAACCACAATCACCTTATTCCATGCCAAATCAACCATACGAAAATTTAAAATGCATCTAAAAGAAATTGGTTGTGAAGATGTAAAGTGGGTTAAACCATCTGAGGACAGGACGTTATGGTAGGCTTTGTGAATACATTTTGCATACTAAGCGAAAAGATGGCTACTAGTTAGATCCAACTCCCGAAACGTCGTATCAGATATACCTTGGACAATGAATAATACCGAACGTAATATTGGTATGATATTTTAGTTTTATAAAGAAGTTATGTATATAACATGATGTCATTGTTCGTTATTCCAGTCATGACAATAATATTTATTCAAATATGTTCACAGGGACATTGCAGGACATGAGCGGTTTGGTTATATGACTCGAGTTTACTACAAATACGCGTGAGTTTGTGATTGTTAATCCATACTGGTATAATGCAGAGTTCAGAAATTGCATTTATTTGTCTGGAATTTTATTCCAAAGAAGAACCCCAGCCGACTGGGCTGTCTGGACACAGTTGGCTACAGTCACCTCAAGTCTCTGCAGCATAAGCTGAGCCCATGCACAAGTTGTCTGGATGTGCTTTTGGACAAGAAGATACACAGATATATGCATGTATGAAGGAAAATATAATAGACCAGTGGTTTCTGAAGTATCATCTATGAAAACCTGGGGTTCCACATATATGACTATGAAACGCATGTTCTCGTAAATTAGGAAGTTCCACTCCCTAATTCGAGAAATTAGTGATTTGTGGTGGAATAAATGTGACTACTAAAGTTAGGCTAAGTAGGTTATAATTTGACTGTGGACTTACGGAATAGTTCATCCAGCTGTATAAACTATTAAGGTGGAAAACGAAATGAAGCTACATCTTTCATAGCAGAAAACATCAACTGTTAATGTTGGAGAGTGAAGTATAGCAATTAATTTGCATTAATTGGCATTCTTCTAATGAAATGTTAGATAAGTCTTAGCGCATTTGGTTTCCAGATTGTGTGAACTACGTTCTCAGTTGGTTAACAGGACTTCAGCCTCTTATGTCAAAGGGCAATGCAAAAGCTGAGTTCACCGCTGTGTTAGTACTTAGCCTATGGAAAGGATTTAAATTAAATTGGAAATATGAGTTTAGTCTTAAATGTTATAATTTACATATATAGTATGCAATAGACAGTACTTTATTAATTAAAATGAGACAGATTAATTATTCTAAATGACCTTAATCAATTTATGTTTATTGCGAAACAATTTATCTTATATAATTTCTGATTTTGCTACTGATTCATATGACAAATTCATGCAATTTGCATTAAAGATCTGCATTAATTCGGTTTGGTTACACAGCTGGCTCCAAACTGGTCAGTCAATGTTTAGACCTCACTGGGATTACTTGAATATTGCCCACATCCAGATCAGATTTGATCGTTTTCTCACCCTTCTATCCAGTTGGTGTGGTACGTACTTTTCCTTAACAAAGGCTTTCATTTTTGAGGTTCAAAAGGGAAAGGTCACAATCTTCAAAGTGTTTACTGTGTGTGTGCTCCAGTATTGTGGACATTAATGTAACTGATTTTACGAAACTCATTATGATCCTGACACTATTCAAGACCTCTTCATCTTGGTAATATTTAAATACTTTCTTCAGTGACATTAACATGGCAGCCATTTTATTTCCTAAGGCAGAATCAACATTAACACTGTTCCAAATAAGATAGCTACTGAAAATTTACGTGATGAAAGGTATGAAAGCAGTCTCAGAAACATTCTTCTTTCCAGAGTTGCTGCTGCAGTAGTATTTGATGTATCCCGCATCCAGACTTTTCAGTCTGTCTCAAAGGTCAGTAACAAAATAATAGTACAAAATCTGTGTGTATCAGCTTTATTTAACAAACCAAAAACAGAGTATGAACAATCCTCAGTGCTTAATTACATGTTGGTAAGTCATTTTGGTACTTGTGGGTTATTGGGACACATCGCTTTAAAAATAGGTTAGGTTAGTTGTCATTTATTGAAATAAAATATAATAACTTTCAAGTTTATGTCATTTATCCACGCACATTAACCTAACCTAACTTAACTTTTAAAGCAATGTGTCCTGATAACCCACAAGTACTGTCATTTTTCTTAAATCTGTTTGTTTTGCAGTGGTTGAGCGATCTGAGAGAGAAGGTGACACTGCACGATGGTACGCCTGTTCCCGTGGTCCTACTGGCCAACAAGTGTGATATTCAAGGCATCGACATTGCTACTGACACCATTGTGAGGTTCTGCAGTGACAATAAAATTGAAGCTTGGTTTGTCACCTCTGCCAAAGAAAATATTAACATTGGTAACTTGAATATTTATATATTTATTTTTCATCTGTTTATATGGGTGTGAAATGTGAATCTGTCACTGTAAAGGATGAACATAGATTGAGGATGTTTGAGAAAATATATAGACCTAAGAATAAGGAAGTAAGAGGAAAATGGAGAACATTACATAATGAGGATCTAAATTTGTAATTTAATTCAATTCTATGTATAATCTCAGATACTGAAAGCATCATTAAATAAACTATAAATAAAATACATAAAAATGATGCTGCAGGCAGACAACTTACTAATAAATAGTAAGAATAAAATTTTCACTCAGTCTAAAAGTGATGATGATGATAACAACAACAACAACAACAACAATAATAATCTTTATTTCACAGAAGAAGCAATGACATTCCTGGTCGACAAAGTGATCCACTTCAAAGCTCAGGAAACCAACAATGATGCCATAATGCTGCAAGAAACTAGACCCCAGAATAATAAATATAAGGCTTCATGTTGTGGGTAATCAAAATAGTGGTTTGTGTAATGACAGACTTTTACAACTTTTTTAAGTTTTCCATGCTGCATGCTAACATGTGGCATCTGAATAGTGTTATATTGGAGCAGATTTTTCCTTTGTAAAGGAGATATTTTTTAACTTGATTCATAGCAAGTGCAGCATTATTAAGAATTTACCATTAACTTTTCAGCAGTGAGAAAGGAGCCTGACATTTTTGTGTGTTATAGATGAATGATTTCTGTGCTTTATGGTTCTCTCATATAACCTGTACTAGACAGCAGATGAAAGTCCAGGGTATTAACTTAACTGTTATCAGAATATGTTGATATTCTTTAAGAATAAGTAATTTTCTTGGCTGTATGATAAAGGCTCCAGGGGGAAGAGAAAATTAATGGGCAAAATTTTGTAAATTAACTGCACCGTACAGAGCTGTACCTGATCTTGAAATGGGTACAATGAATAGATTTATAATTTAGAAGCATGCTGCTATTTTAGGAATCCTTTGGAAATAAAATCTTCTGTTCAACATACAAATATGCCAGACATAATTTGCAGCACAGAAAAAATATAAGATATTGGTGCTTTAATATTTTACTTAGACTGTGATCACACTTTATTTCCAGGTAGATATTTTTTACATGTATATATTCAAATAGATTAGTGTATTTAAATTTGGGGCATATGAATCTGCAGAATTAGTTATGCAGGTTGAATATGCTGAAAGTACTGGAAATATAAATGAAAAGTACTGTAATGCAGTTGATTATTCTCTGCATTTGAGTGTCATAGTTTGTGCTTTCTTCTAATTACAACTTCATTTAATCTTATACCATAATTTATCCCTGTATTGCATTCTTTTATTGAGCCCCCATTGCATTGTTTAATTTTTTACTCCATTCTCTTTCTCTCATGTTTCTGTTTTTGTCTCTTCATTTTATGAGCCTGTGCCAGCAGTACTTTGATCAGAAGACATGCTGCTCAGGTATAAGAAATAATTGAATTCTCATGTATGGGCAGACATTACCACATTACATTTCATCTTTAATTTAATACTTCATTATAGATATAAACAATTATGTAATAAACTCACTTGCCTTAGGTGCAGTAAATAATTCATAGAATTGTGATAAGATTGTTGCTGGGTGAATACTTGTAATTTAGATTTTGTCATATATAATGTATTTGGATACCATCTTCTCACTCTGGATACCCATGTTCAGTCCCTGCACAGGTCTGTCCAAGAACATGGTAATGATGGAAATACACATAAGAAAGAAAATCATAAACTTTTTGCTGTTGAAGTGTCCTGGAACATTTACCATAACAGTAAAAAAGTGATTTTACTTTAAGTGTACACAAATTATTATTATTATACACTTTGCTTCTTTAATCAGTTAGTTTTATTTGACAGAGAGTCATAATATGTTACACAACAACTGAATACTTGAAATTCATACTTCTGCCTTTAGACGTCAGATGCATGGAGTATATGATGTGTAAGGGCTTGTAACTTTACTCCAGGCACAACAAAACAAAAATAAATCAGTTCTGGAATTTTCTTCACCATCTATCATTTACTTTAAATGTTTCAGGGTGAAAAGATAATTTGGCTAATATTGAAAAATGTGTTTCATTAAATTCATCATAACCGTGCATCAAGGGAAATTTTTATTTGTTAAAGTAACATTTTCAGTGATTTAAAACAGTAGTGAAAAAATAAGTACTCTAAGAATCCTTACAGAAGGCTAGATGGCAACTGACATATTTTGTGAATACAATACGTTTCTTACATCATGATGCTCTACTCTACCTTAATATTTATAACTTTCATTTTAAATATCTTTGAGACAAAATGAAATAAACATTTTACATTAACATGCTTTGCATATGGGTGCAAATCAACCCACAGGCAATAAACATCTGAAATTTAAAAACTTCTTGAGAAATCTGGCATGATATGTCTGTTACACATTATAATTGAATTAAAGAATTGAATTGGTGATAACAATGGCTTCATTATTTGTATTACATAATGATTTATTTTTTATTTTTATGATAACTTAATTCCAATGATAATGATTGTAATAAATCAGTTCAGTTCCAATTTCATGATGAACAGTGTGCAACAGGGGAGCATTACTGAATGTTACAGAGAACAAAGATCACCCTAATAACAGGTAGTAAACACCTCTGTAACACCAGACAACACGGCACAAACCAGAAAGAAGAATTGTAAAGTTCACAAGGAATGTATTATTAAGTTGGGGGGTGAGTTAACGCTGTTACCAACTCAGCTACTGACATTGGTTGCTGCAATGGTTTAATACCAACTTGCCGCAAGATCGCTTTTGTAGTAGTTCTCGTAGCTGTGGATAGCTGGTAGCACAATATATACGTGACGTCGAACGCCACGTGCGTTGCCATCTTTCATCACAGAGTTCCCGATCTGTATGTTGGCATCGTCTGTGATCAAATGCTACGGCGATGTTAGTATACCGGTCTAGTTCTAGCATCCATTAGTTGTCATTAATGTCAGTGTGAACGCTTGGAATTTATTTAATGTATTATGAAATCGCACAAAATATCAGTGTTGTTTGCGGTGTAATAATTATAGAAATGAAGCTACAAAATGAGTTGTTCTCCTTTATCTCGCACAGTCGTTTGTAAAGAAGTTTTTGATGAAAATAGTATTCCTTCTGAAGAAGGTAAAGGCGGCTGTTTTGAATACTTTGGTTATTGTCTTTTTTATATTTTCTATGTTTAGAAGGCGATACTCTGTTTTTCTACAAGGCGTTTGTATTTTACGAGTCACGTGGACATTTCACTTCTCGAAACATTGGTGCTATATCTTAACCGTATTGTGTCAGTATTGATCGTTTGTTACTGATCTTCCAGCATCAAGAAGGTCATGTTACTACAGCATGAAATGCGTGCTTTGCGGTTGTGGCATACAACTTCGTTCTCATTGGGGTGGGATTTGGCATTTAATCGTGCACGAAGCTTTTTAAATATCTCCCTTTTTATCTCGAAAATTTAACCAGCTGGGATGGAATGTAACTTTGCAATATTCGATAAAATAAACGATGAGCGCAGTAACGTATAATGAATATTTCTCATGATATAAGTATTTTTGAAAGGCAGTACCGGTTTACAAATTGCAACGCGATTTTATCGTGATTTGTTGGTCGGACAGTCGGAAGTTAGAGTAGGATGCCGGAACGAATGATGAGGATCAATATTAAAGCGTACTGCCCCCTCCCCCCATCAATATTTACTTTGCCGAAAACATAATGCAGCTTTATAAACATACTGCATTGCATGAAAAGGAAGAATCTGCTATCCTTTCTTCTTTAAAAAAACACCCGTTTCTTCAAGAGATGTAGGAAACACAATTATTATTAATATTATTATTATAAATTCGGCGGGAAATAATTTTGACATAATTCATACTTCATTTTTAATATATATTTTGTATTACAATGGATTTCACTTGGGAGACTCCTCTAATGTGCCAGTGCTGTACAGAATGGGATGATTATTGTAATTAGTTTATTAATGAACAAAGATGACAACTGGCTGTACCTGTTTATAGCACCTATTCGATGACTGTTCCCTAGTTCATGTATTGTGGTCCTAGTGCTTCTGTCAACTTTAATCTGCTCTGTATGCAAATCTGTCTTGAGAAAAACATTAATGCCAACACGTTTGTCAATTTAATGGGAAAACTTTTCTTTTGGGTAACAATGTAAAATTAGCTTACAAGTATGAAATTTAAAATTGTGAAACTATAGACCTATATTCATATTCCACCATAATTTGCACATTTTTGATGTTGTAAAGAATGGAAATATGACGTATATAAGGAGCAAAATGATTTTGTCCAGTTCACCTCTTTGAATAAATTGGCATTCTTCCCTTCATTTCACAGGTCATATTTATATTTTGTTGTCTCTGTGAATGACTGCAGATCACATGCCCTGCATAAAATCATAAGAATCAGAGTACCATGTCGTTTATGTTGTACCAAAGTGTTCTTTATCACAGTAAAATATGGACTTTTTACATCTGAGTGAATTTGATTTGGTCTTTAATCTGGACTGTTAAAAAGATAATGATTTCTGTACAGTGTAATTTGATGAAGTTTTGTTTTGTTTTGTTTACAGAAGTAAAGGACTATGCACTGAAGATTGGAATCAACCCTGACAGTGAACCCCACCTGCTTCAGTTTGCACGAGATGGTCTTATGCAAGCTTTACCTGATGGCTGGAAACCATGGTGAGTGGAATGAAAACAAAACAAACATGTTGAAAATTAATTTTGAAATTGATATTATGAAACTGTTTATAATTGTTTGCTAGTTATGATAAGAAGCTCGGAGCTTGGTACTACTTCAACTTCAAAAAGAGAGAGTCTCGTTGGGAACATCCTCTGAATGATGTACACAGGAACCTGATCAAGAAGGTTCGTTCAGAAAGCATCAGCTCAGCAGGTACAGTCTACAACTCATATTACTTACACTGAGAAAATGAGGTATATTTGAAAATGTAATTCTTGAAATTCATGAGAGAAACATGTAAAACTTTAAATTAAGTACTCCATACACAAATAATTATAAAAATTACATTTATTCAGCCATGCATCTCTGTATTCTCAGCGAATTCTAATGACATTAAATCTTCAAAGGTATACATATGTTTGCATTAATTACAGAGAAAGTCTTTTCTGTTTGAATAAGCTGCATTAATCGTTATGAAAGACAAAGTTATACATTAAACTCCAACCCCAATAACCTAAGTAAAGGGATTGCTTGTAGTTAGTTATTTGTAGCCAGTTGATATGTTTCAGGCAAATAGAAATCATAAAACATTTAAATTCATTTATTATTTAATTATTATCAGAAATAAAAAAGTTTACTGGTCTGGTTAGACATTAATTTCTTGCAACAAAATGCAGACACTGCAGAGAAATCATGTACCCAAATGTAAACAGAATGAAGACAATGAAAAATACTGAAAGGAAGAACAATATTCTTCAGAAAGGGATGGGATTCAGTATGTACTGTATTTATTCTTTAGCAAGTTATTAATTAGAGTAGAATTCACAATAATGTCTAATTTTTTTCATTCATGGAAGAAGGCAAATAATTTAAATTAATTGTATTTGGATATTAGGATGGGAAAACCTCATAGCATATCAGGATATGCAGTATGGCTATAATGTTTTCACTTTTTTAAAATATTTAAATTTCATATGTAATGTTTTCTGTTGTGTAAGAACAACGGCCTGTAGATATTATAAAAAAGTTCTCTTTTCTCCCTATCTTTGAATTTGTAAAATGTTTGATGTTGCTTATTTTTGTTCAGGCGAGGAAGATTCCAAGACATCAGCCAAAGAAGACTTGAAGAGCTATGAGGAGGCTGCATCCACAACTCCAGACACACAGCCTTTTCCACAGTCATTAGAATCTCTTAAAAGCAGTGGAATGCAGAAGACAGGACAAATTCAACTGGTACATTCACAATTCATTGCAATAAAGCTTGTGTATTCTACTTTGATTTTTACCATAATTTCATATTGCAATACAGAATGACCTTAAAGTTATTCTGAAATTTCATATTTAAATTTGTAGTGAATGAGATAAGATAGAACAATAAAACAGATTGTGACATTTAAACAACAGTGTACAATTTTATGTTGTATGTATATTACTGATAAGCACACTATAGCAATATATCCTGTATATGGATCCTATGAATCAGCTGTTGCCATGTACCCACTAGTGTGTTTTAGGTAACTGTAGTGCCTGATATTCTTTTTGATGTACTATACAGATCCATCTGATGATTAATGTGTATCATACAGTGATATAATCAATTTAAAGAGATTGCCAGCATTGAGAAACGTAAATCTACAGAACTGAATGAATTATTGACCATATTTTTCAAGAGCTGTTGACATAGGCCTAAAATGTATTCTGTCTGTGCATACAGAATTTGGTATTACTTGGTTTGCTGTTTGTAAGGTGCTTCAGAAAAACTGTTTTGCAATCCCTATAATTTGAAACTGACAGATGGACTTTCACCAAGATGGCATACATCTGACATTTTGGTATTGTTGGTTGGCAATCACTGACTGCCCAGTTTTGAAATAATTGGACAGGTAGAGGAACACTGATTGCTTGGCTTCCATTTTGACCCAGTTTTAATGCATTAGTTTTCTTTGGGGAGTGAGAGAGGGGTAATAAAAGAGAGACTGAACTCCTCAAAAGTGACATTACTACATTTAAAGAGAAGAATATTCGAAACTATTCTTAAACATCTTCTTCATCTGGGTTAATATAATCTTTTCAGTAGAGTTTTAGTCACAGCTGAGTCTTTTGAATTTCTTTTAAAACAGTGATTCCTAATTATGTTTAAAATGCATTCCATTAGATCTCATATCTGAAGATTGCTTTTAAATGACTAATGATATTAAGTTTGTGTTTGTATAAATATAGTATTTAATTTTTAGGCTCCACTGAAGAAATCTCCAGTTCTGTCACCTTTAACTACTCCAAGTTTATCATCCCCTAAAAAGCTGCAGCCTTCTCCACTAAGTAGTCCTGTGAGCAGCAAGATTCCAGCATGGCTAATGGATCCTTCTAAACTGGTTGAGTTTAAAGATGTTAGCAGTGGTACATCAGAGATTACTGGTGGGTCAGAGCCTGGAGGCATTGCCACAAAGATTGATCTTGGTGGAAGGCAAAGAGATCCAGTGGTGCACAAGGAGATCCCAAGTCCAACTGCAAGGATTGATATTGATAGGATGGATATGGGAAGTCTGGTGAAGAAAAGTGAAGAAAGTGCAGTTAGCAGGAAGGAGAGGCTTTTGTCTGCCCAGGAGAAGCACCCTCGTAGCATGACTGGACGAGGGGAGCTTACTCTCACTGGTGAGTCATATTTTACTTTGAGCAGAATTATAGTAAGACTTCTGTAATTCTTAAGTGAGTTTTCTTCATAGCCATCTTTTAGGGTTTTTGATTTGAACTTCTGTATATTTGATTTGGCTTTATAATAGTCACATTCCGTATTTGATAAAATGTCACTGGCTGTCTCATTATCGTATGATAATAGGTGACTTAAATCCCTGTACTGTGTTGGCCAGACTTAACTTTGGAGTAAACGGTTTTAATGGTAATCTAGTGCGATGTGTGACCAACTGGATCTTGTGTGAATAGTGGCACATGGACAATAAAGGTTTAATATCTTATTCTAGAAATCTATGCAAGCAAGCAAGTATGATTGCTGATATAACCACAATAGTACAAAACAATAACAAATATGTTACTATACTTGTATGCTTCACTGCTGCTGTTATTGACATCTGAACTGATCTTGTCATTGACCTAACCTATGATACTGGTTCTTTCAAAACTTGACATCTTTTCTTCATATACATTGGGGGGTCTGTGCAATAGTTGTGTGAGATCCTACACAGGAATTGTTCGGTTTAAGAGATTTCTGCATTTAATGTGTTGAAACTGTGAATTGCAATTTATTTAATGATTTCTAGTGTCTTCAGTTGGTATGTTTCACTTGACGTTACATAACCAAATTGGCTCCGGTTATTTAAATATGAATATAGTTTTTCTTCTAACTCTGGAAATTTTTCTTATTGTTCATGAAAAGTGCACTGGTTACTTACATTATTGCTGAGTTCTAGAATTCATTATCTGCCCCCCCCCTTCTTTCTTGTTAATTTCTACAGGAGGGACAGATTGTGTAGTGATGCAAGTTACTGGCTCTTGAACGGGACTTAAACTGAGATTTTTAAGTATCCATTCCTCTTGAATTCACCTCAGCTATTTATTTATGATAATGCAAAAACTGAAATGGGATAATACATCATATATTTATAGATTTCAGAAAGCCTTGTAGCTGCAAGAGAAAAGTACTGTGTTTAATTTTATATACCCAGAATACTAATTAACCTGAATAATATGTGTTTAATTGAAACCTGTAGTAAAATTTGTATAATTAAACATTTGCTTGATATATGACCAGTTTAAGATGGTATGAAATGAGATTCTGTATTACCATTGCCTTTAAACTTTGCCTTAGAATATGCCATTAGGAATGTCCAAGAAAGGAAGGAGAAATTGGAAGGAAATGGAACACATGAGCTGATCTATACTAGTGATATTAATTTGTTAGACAGAAACATAAATGCCATAGAGAAAAGACAGAAATTCTTTTAAGATGGTAGTAAGGAGGTCAGTCTAGAAGTAGGTTTATTATGAACTTAATTTGTGTTTTTGTCTTGTTGCTGGAATGCACAACATAATTGTATCAGGATAGCAAATTCTTCAGACATGTGCCAGAGTTCAAGTGTTTAGCATATTATGCTTTCTTTAGGCGGTGGTTCCATGTTCCTAAAGTCAAGACAACAGAAACAAGAGTCTCATAGCACAGTGTCATCCACTCCTAGTCCAGGGGTTGAAATAAGTCCAACAAATGATGTGTTTGGTGCAGCTGTGGAACTGGTTCCTCTGAGGGATCAAGATGAGAATCTCCCAAAGAGTATTTTGAGAGATCAGCAACGCTCAGCAACACCTGGGAAGCCTCTATGGGACATTGATCCTAGGGAGATGTCCAGTATGTGCTGCTGATAAAATTTTACTACACTTTCTAGTCAAAACAGAACCAAGTACAGTAATTGCTCATATAATAGTAAAGTTTGTTTAATGATTGAAAGCTCCATTTTTGTCTAATATTGTGTAGTGTTAAGTATCCAATTAATTATGACAGTAAAGATCAAAGGCAGTTGTTTTTCAGAATTCTGTCACAACACTTCTAGTTTTTAATCTTTGATGTATTTTATTTTGTATGCTATATTTTACATAAAGATTTTCTTTTAAAAATGCTACCATGTCATAAACACACCTTTTTGTGTGGAATCCAGGCTTGACTGTTTGCGAGGTTAATGGAACAAAAAATTTTAGTGTGCTAATGATGTCTTGGCCATAAACGTTGGAACAGAAGGAAGGTGGTTCTTTATGCCCATAAGGAGAAATCTGTGGCTACTTATAATTCCAGTAATTTTTGAGATGAATTATCTTTTCCAATATTAGATTATACATTACTGTAATTTGACACTTTCTGACATTGTGATGTGCTGTTACACAACTGATGTTTTCTGTGGGCTTCCAAGATAATACTCATCACTGCTTACTCATATGCTAACAGTCTCACAAGCCTAGAGAAAACAATTTGCTGTGGCAGTTTACAACCTTGTAGGATTTGAGGTTTTCATGGCGGTGAGTCTGAAGATGGCTGTCTTCTGGGTTGTTGCACCATGTAGTCTGATAGAAGTTTACCAATGTTTCAGAGGTTCTTGCTGCCTCCATCAGGGCAATGACTCACTGCCCTGATGCTGGAGGCAGTTTACAACCTGACTTAAAAAGTGCTGCTTTTTGCACCGTTCTCTATATGAATGTGACTGATATTGTTATTTATTTTTTGGTGTTATGATGACATTTTTCAGGGAATATATTTTAGAAAAGAGATACTGTCACTTGAGCATTTACTGTACATAATCACTTATATAACTCAGCCTTTCAACTAAAACTATCATTTGTAAGGCACATATAGACTGCGATATTTGTTATTTGTAGGGTTTTCAGTATCTGCAATTCTGTTTCTTGGTTCGTATTGATATTTAGATTGGAATGGCTTCTGCCATTTCTGAAGGTAATTGCTGCCTTCAATATGGCTTTTCATCTTTACTTCTAGTCATTTCAGTGCCCATGGTCTCTGAAAGTTTTGATGTTCTTTATTGAAGGGGTTGAAACTTGAAATAAATTAATATTTACTAAGCAAGTGAATTTAAAGGAAGATATTTTGCTGTAATCCTTATAGCGTGCTTTTGTCATGTACTTGGAAAGTTTGGATTATATACATATATTTTTAGAAGGCTGTTAGTTTTATGCATGTCATTAATCTCTACTAGTTTTAAAATGCTGGCTGTACTGTACCTTCCCTTAACCAAAGGCATGCTTCAATGTGTTGTGAAAACTGTCCTTTATCTTTTATGGACTTTGTGTTCAGTTTTTATGGGAGGGGGTGTTAGATTAGATATTAGTGGTTAGTAACTCTGAAGTAAGGCAAATGTGAACTGTGCAACGAGCTGATATTTTGCAAGGAAAATATTTAGTGTAATATGGTTGTGGTCTTTTCATGGTATGTAAATGTAGTTTTAGCATTTTAGAAATGATTTGCATACTGTAGGAGTGGCATACATAAAATGTATACACACGTACTTGAACACATTCTGTAGATCAAAAAATAAGTCAAAATAACTGTAGGATGTGGAACAAATCATAAATATAAAACATAAAATTTTAAATAAAATATTGTGTAACATACGATTATCAAGCATTACATGGTATCCATAAATATACAACAGATACATGATATGAACATTTTAGTAGACATAAAAAAATGGGTTAACTGTTACAAGTTCATAACAAAGTCAAAGGATTGTCTTTCTAGTGCAACTTTACATTGTCCCTCATCATTCATAATATTTCTGATACAGTATTTATTGTTGAAGGAAGGTCATTTATGTTTGCTGTGAAAAGCAAAGGCCATAATATTGATGCTTGTGGATCTCCCTGTTTTACTATACCCAATTTTTAGAATAAATTCTTCATTAAATTAGGGGAGTTAATTTCCACTTTCTGTCTTTTGTTTGTAAGATAGAATCTGAGCCAGTTTTAGTTTTTACAACAGAAGAATGATGGATTCCAGAAAATGAAGGTGGACCGAGAGACAGTTAAAAATAAAATCACTGATCCTGTTATGATGAGAATGAAAATCTATAAAACTTACAGTTTTTACCATGTTATAATTGAAGTTGCTATTTTTGTGGTAGGTGTAGATATATTTAAAATAAGCACAACATGTTTTCCATCACAGTTTTAGCAGTCACTTCTCTTCTAATAAAATATGTGTGGTAAAGTCTTCTGCTATAGATAATTTATGAACTCCTAAAATATCATTATAATGGATTTTTATTGTTTCTATTTTACAGTTGTACATTTGTACTGCTCTGGGAAGGCAGCTGACATGGGCCAAAGGGGAGTTAAATCTGATTTTAGTAATCGTCTTCCCACAGCAAACATACTGCAATTGTTTAGAAGTATTAACATGTGAAAGGTTGAATCTAACACCAAAGACACACAACATGTGGTTCAACATATAGTGCATCATGCAATGGGACAAGCATTTCTTAAATGATTCTTGTTATATTGCATGTCACACCATATGTTATGTGTCTTCGGTGTAGATCCTGCCTAAGAATCCCTAACAAACTAATCATATTTGTTATATATTTACTTCACACCCCCGTATGTTATGTTACATTAATGTTTGCTTTGAAGTCGTGGTATACACATGAACATTAACCATTATTGTACATGAGCTGTGGATTTAAACCTCTATATCACAAAGCTGCTAGCCAGTCTTGAAGTCTGTGGTTAACAGTTTAATGGTGTACTACTATGTTGTATGGCCAGCTGGGCTGCACATATCCCATGATATGTGGTTGATGAAGATTAAGCAAAAGGTAGTTAATTACAGGATGTAGTGCCATTGTTGGCTATAGAGTGTGTGAATGGGGATTTTGAATTGAACTTGCCAAATTGTTTAAACACAGAAATAATATGCAGTTCAACCTAAATAATAAATTAATATGTTTCATCACTTTGTAGTTTTGTTTTTAAAATTTTTAATTAAATGATGCACTGATATATCTTTGGTGCTTGTGGTCATAAATCCAACGTAATTTGTAGTGACTTAAGCCGTTCTTTCTTACTGTATTATGTATTTTTATTTTAACTTCATAATAGGAGTGGAGAAATAAGTTTCTGAATTAAACAGTAAGAGAGAACACACATACAGGCCATTCTCTGAATGTACTGAGACTGAATTATGAATCTTGTTGTGGTAATTACAATATGTATAAGAAGAGACTGATAATAGCAGATATTTTGAGAAATGTGGTTTTTCTGTTGATCTTTTTCAGTTATAATTATGCTAAGGAGCAGTAAGAATTCTTTTGTTTTGTATGTGGTGTTTTATAGTACAGTGGCTGGACTACATTTTGATTGCTTAAGTATCTGGATATATTTTATCCAGCAAATAACTGACATCTATGTATATGACATGCTGTTGGTCATATGCTTTCCAGTAAGTTTTGTTCATTCTATTTTTATGTTACTTCCAGGTTTAAGTTTGAATGTTATTTTGAAATGTGTAGATTTTGCTATCATATAATTTTCCAGCTATAACTGTGATGTGAGAACATATTTCCCTATTTTTCATTCTCTCTTTCAGGACACAAATGTAAGTTTAACTAACAAATACAAGTGCACTGTATCCTAAGTGAAATAGATATTGTAGGAATATTCCAGAAGAAAGGTTCTTTTGTTGCAGGGTTTTATTATTTGCTCTAATGAATTTTAAACTTGTGCATGCAGTTAACATATTTGTGCACTCTTGTAACCTTGCTTTAGAATTACCAGTGAATTATTATATTTAACACTGTGTACCAATATGATTCACATTGAATAATAATAGCTTATATTCTCATCTGGAAATGTTTATGTGCATGTTTCTGCCATGACAAATTTCATGTGCCTCTGTTCCTCACAATTTTGTTAAATATAGTTGGTTGTTTTTATAGATGTCTCACTGCTCATATCTGTCTGCAATTAGTACAGATGATGCTGCATGAACTACACACGCAATTTATCCTGTTCCATGTTTGGATGACTGGCTATAACTAATTTCATGGTACATGGTTTTTCTTAAGAAGTCAGTAGTTGCTCACTTGTTCAAGAAATTTCCTGGTGTGAAATCAGAAAATTTATGACAATTTTTTTTAAACTTGCCATTAGACTTTCTCGAGAGTCACTTCAATATATCCCATCTCACTCAACCTATACAACTTATGAAATTGAGAAGGTATGTTTAAGTAACCTAAATATCATTTAACTCAGGAAATGTAAGTTTTAATTTTTTTCAGATAATTTTAATGATGTATAATTTTTTTCTCAGTGATATGTATTGCAGAATATGATTTACCTACGCACTGATCCATGTACTTGCTTTATCTATTGGGCCGCATGTACCAGCGGAGCACTACATTCTGAAAACATGTCTGACATTAGCTGGCATTTTAACTATTGAATCTCTTTTTGAAAAGCCTTGTTTGATGTGATTATCTATTTTTAAAGTGATAAATAATTGATTTTTAGATGGGATAAGTAAGAGTATTAGGTTAGAGAACTTTAAGCCTAGTTGATTATATTCACAATTGTGTTTCAGTATGTGGAAGCTACTTTCTGCATTCAAAGTGTGGAGGATTTCTTGCTTATAGCCAAAAAATTTATAAAGAGTCTGACAACAAAGAACCTTGCTCTGTGTCGCAGCAATAAGCTTACATGGGCATCTAATTTTTTTACAGTTTATAGTATGTAATAGTAGTGATAATTTTTTTTATTTAAATTTAAGACATCTGACTGACTGACTAACTAACTAACTGAAGTGTCCCCATTTCATCTGTGTCCAAGGTAGTTGCCCCATTCATCTCCCTAATGTGTTAATGTGCCCCTTTTTACAGAAATACCCTGAAACATTTCACAAATGAAACCACAGCCAGGGGACTGCTGCTGTAGATGGGTTTCTTATTTCACAATTCTGTGTGTGTGTTTGATTTTTAAAACCATATGACATTAAGTTCATGTACCACTTGACATGGTAGGTGAGGAAAAGCAGATATGGCGCCATCAGGAGCTTGAAGAGGAGAAGAAAAGTGTCCGTTTCAACTTGGAGCAGGAGCTGGACATCCATTTCAATCTATCTGACTTGTCAGACCACGATGGGGTAGAAGAGGAAGATGAAGAAGATGAGGATTGGAACTCAGATGAAGAGGATTTGGATGAGGAGCGTTTTATTGCAGGCATCAAGGAGTCAAGTAGGTACCCTTATTCACAGACTGCAGTCTGCTGATTTCATGTGTTAGCTCGTGTTAAGTTCTGCTCTGAGTTAAAAGTGGTGTGCTGTGCCAGTAATACACACTAAGAAGGAGGTAATGCTTTACATATTCAGTTGTATTTATTTTCTGTAAAAATCATTTGTAGTAGGGTTTTATATGTTCAAACTCATCTGTTATTCGTAGGATTATGTGTAAAAATGTATTTTTCTGGAAAAAGTGAATAGTAGGGAACATCTGGTGATGAAGTTACCAGTAATTATTTCAACAGCAGAAATCATTTGTGAATCTGTATTGTAAAATGTAGTGTCTGTTAACTAATGTATAAAAATAAGTTAAATGTCTTACGTTGTACTGTACTCAGATGATAGATGATTGAATTTAAAACTATTATTAGGTAGTGGGTTTAGTGAAGAGTATTTTCTACAGTATCTCGGTGTATATTGACAGAAACTGCTATTATGAAACATTTCTGTTCTAACAATTACATTCTTTTCAGTACCTTCGATTGAAATCTCTGTAAACATGCACTAAAAATGTGTTTTCTTAAGCACTTGTATCATCACCTTAATCTCATTGTTGTTGAATTATAAAGGGTTATTTTGTTTTAAATGTTTCTTTCAGGTACTTTACACCTCATGGATACTTCTGCTTTAAAAGAAATATCAACAAGTGAACGTGCTGTCGGGAATATATCTCACATACCTGTACAGAGATTGGCTGGTAGCATAAAACATCAGTTGACTGAATCTGACGAAAGGACAAATTCAGGTCCAACAAAGCAGATTAACAGACCAGGTGCAAAGAGTGTCAATGGGACAAGATTTACCATAGAACGAGTTCATGAATCTGAGACGGAGGGCTTCCCTGTTCATTTGTCAAAACAGTCAAAATGCAGCCCTTCATCCCAGCAATCAGAATTCACTGTGACTGAGCCATATGAAAAGACTGATATGCAATATACATCTAATGTAATATCAAATGTAGTTTGTTTAAGTACTGATGTACTTAGCTCTGCAGTTGCATCTGTACATCCAGTAAATGAGTTCAAGGAAGGGACTTCAGATGTTTTGAGTGACAGAATTGTTAAAGATGTGGATGAAGTAGGTGTTGGTCAAGAAGAAGGTGAATTGAAGAAGAATACAAATAAAGTTGTAAATGACAAGTCTACTGCCAAAGAGGGACAAGATGAGGAGGTTGAAACTGATGTGAAACAAAAAGAAAATACTGAGGAAGCTTTTCGTAGAGAATTTCAGGAACAATTTGAAGCAGGGCAGGAAAAATATCAGGCAAGTCAACATAGGCATCAGGAATTTCTAGTGAAAGAAATTCAGAAATTAGAGGAAGAGAATGAAAATGCATTACAAAAACATCGAGAAATACTGGCTCAGAGGCTTAAAGAATCCATCATTCAGTTGGAAAATGAACAGGTACATATTTACATTTGTATATAAAATTAATAAAAACACCCATTTTCATCCACTTTTGTGTTTATCTCAGGAAATATACCTCAAATCAGAAGTATTTCATAGTGAAGAAATAGACTGTCAAGTTTTCTTCTCCCTTCTTTTATTTATATCTTTGGTATTATGTAGTGTGCTGTTTCCCTCGTGTCTTTAATACTCAATTTTCAAACATAACTTTGTATTTCATATAAATATTATACATTTTCTTAGGAAAAATGTCTGGAGACATTACAATCTCAGCTTTCAAGAAAGGAAGAGGAACATGAAGCTAGACTTAAGTTGCAATTTCAAGAAAATATTGTGGCCTTTGAGAAGGACCTCAAAACACGACAGGAAAATCAGGAGAAATGTATGCGGTAAGCGTACTATAATATTTACAGATGTTGGTCAAATTACATATTCAAGTGGACACTGGACTCATATTATAACAGATAATCTGGCTTCTTTAATGTATTTTCCTTGGTTATAACAAATAAAATGAAAATGTAATATGGAAGTCATTTCTGTCTTTTCATATTTAATCTCCAGAACCACTCACCAGACTTTGATTACAAAGAATTGAGATTTTAGTGGAGCTAATTAGTTAATTATAATGGAAAACATTTTGTGCTGGTAAACTGTGACAAATTTATAGGTCCTGTGAATAGTTGTAAATCCATGTTATAGGGAGAACATGGAGGCATCGCTTCAAGAACTAAATTATGCATTGGCAGCAGAACATGAAAGACAGATTACAGCCTTGCAGCAAGAGCAGGAACAGATGCAGTCACGGCAAGTACAAGAATTCAAGAAGAGACTAGAGGATGATAGGATACTCCTTGAGCAGCAGACTTCAGAACAGGAAGCCAAGTTTGAGCAGGAATTGGCACATAAGATGGAGGAGAAGTTTGCTCAGTTGGAGAAAGCTCACACTGAGCATGTGCAAGAGCTTGCTAAGAAGAATGAACTGGAAATTGAAGCTACAAGAATTCAGTTGCAAGAAAAACTGGCAGCTCACAAGGATGTGCTTCAACAAGCTCATTTAAAAGTGAGTACAGGTCACTACTCGATGTCCTGGGTCAAGTGATTTAGATTTACCATTGTCTTGGAAAATTCACAAAAGTAATGAAGGCAATTCAGTTAATGCAGGAATTCAGATAAGAGACTGAAAGTATTTGATCTGTTGGCAGTATTGTATCTAGGATTTAAATTCAGGGGCCACTTTTGAATATATCTGTTTAAAATAATGTATGTTATTGAGATCTCGGGTTTTCACATCAGTGAAGATGTCTGTGGTGGTCTTCTGGGTTGAGTACATGGTTCTTATGGATGAAGATGGTGGCACTATGTTCTTCCAAAGCACTGGTATTTACCTATTGTGACAGTTTTTTGTGATTTTCCTTCCTTCAGACAAGTGCCAGGATTGTACCTTAGATTGGTCCACAACTGCTTCCTTCTGTATCCTTTCTGATTCATTACACATTAAGTATCCTATCATTCAACACTGTGTAGACTAAGCTAGTGTTAGCATTGTTAAGTAAACCGTAAATAAATAAATAAATATGTTGCCAGGGTGTGAAATGGCTCAGGTTTGGGTCTATTGTGTTAATTGATTGATTAATAATGTGAAATGACTGAACACTGATTTCAAATTTTAGTAAGAGTGCTTCAAATGTATGAACAAGAGACCGCATTTTTATTGTACACTCTAGGAGATGGATGCAATAGATGTACAGTTACGTGAAACCATTGACTGTGCACGAACAGCAAAACTGTCAGAGCTGGATGAAGCAAAGAGAAGGACCGAGTCACTTGAAAAGTTGAAGAGAGAAATGGACCAGGAACTAGAAAGGAAGAGGCTTGAGCTCACAGCAGATCATGATACCATTATTAAAGAGCTAAAAGCAGAAAATTCTGCTAGAATTGAGAAGTTGAAACTGGATTTCAGAATGGAGGTGAGCTATAAGCTTTTTATCAGAATTTTTATCATTGTTATTATACAAGTTTTTGAAGTGTATGTATTCAACATATCTTAACTTGCATTTTTTTTATTAGCAATATGGTCTAGATGCATGGGTCATATAGTATGAATGGGAGAGATTAGAAATACATAAAGTTTCATCTGGTACCTACAGAGTTTATCAAATGCGTCTGAGATTCCTTGTGAAGGCTGTCTTTATACATCATCTTTATCCGCATGATTGCTGTGTCAACCTCGTTGGTTGAAAAATCCATGTTGTTGCAGTAAATAATATTTGAGTCATACTCCATACTGTTTGCAATAATTAATCAGTGGAATGGTAGGGCTGTGGTAGTGGAATTAAGCAATGGCTTTTTTTAGTTTTCATTTCTTCTTCCTTACAATTAACTTCGTCTTTCTTAATTTTAAGTAACAGTTATTTCTTTACTAATTTAGCTGCCTATTTCAGGAGGAACGGGTTCGTAAGGAACACAGTGAACGATTAGATGAACTCCGGTCGCGTCTGAGTCGTGAGTTGGAGCTAGAACGGCAGAGGATAGTTAAGGGCAATGAACAGCAAAATGATTCAGCCCGCCAGGAATTAGTAGAAAGTTCTAGGTAAATTCAGAGCTGTAAGGATACTCTATACTTCTAGTCAATATAAGCACTGAAATATTCTGGATATTCTAAAGTCTCATCACCAGTATGCAGGATAAACCCATAGTATAAAAGTATCTGTTGAATCTTACAAAATCATAACTGTATTAATGAGGAAATTAGGAGCAGATTAAATTCAGGGAATACTTGCTACCATTAAATCCAGAAACTGTCTTCCTATTTCCTATCTAATGACTTACAGTATAAAATATACAAAACTATTTTACTCTCTGTTTTGTATGCTTATGAAACTTTGTGTCTCACACTGAGGGAAGATCATAGAGTCTTAGAGAATGAGGTTCTGAGGAGATAGAGAAAAGTACGTAATGAGCAGCTTCAGAATTTTTACTCTTTGTTAGATATTGCCACGGTGATTAACTAAAGGAGGTTGGGATAGACTGTACATATAATATGCATTGTATAGTTGAAACATGCATACAGTATTTTGTTTGTTTGTTATGATAGAATAGATGGCTGGATACAATTTAAATGTATCTGGAAGATACAGGATGAGAGGTTGTGGATGGATTAAACTGGTGAGATTTCAGTTCTCATGATAGAGACTATGAAGTTGGCAATCTTCTGGGATGTTTTATAGTATAATTTGGTAAACGTTTACTGATGTTTCAGAGGAGCTTCCTATGTCTGAAATGTCTAAACTTCTACCATACTACACAACACAACATTCCAGAAGACAGTTATCTTCTAGGATTAAAATGTCTTAATGTAGGATCCAGTAGCGGACTCCTGTGAGCACCATAATGAACTGTTTAGTTTCATAGAGGATGGAGAATTTTTTAATCAGCTGGTTAACTGTCTGCAAACTGTTAAGTTTCTATAGTTCCAACCCCATTATTTTTGTATTAAGTTCTCTCCATATGAGGTTTCTGTTAATTTAGTGTCCAAATCCATTGCCCCAAGAGAAACCTTTAATGGTGATTTCACTGTAGTTATTGCATGAGAATATAATAACATTTGTTTTTTGTTTGCTGATTTTTTAAAAATGCAGACAGACAGTGAATTTTTAAACCTTGTTTCATCTGCTTAGTACATTGTATCTGTGCTGCAGAGAGTATGAAAAGCTTCGCTGTGAGAAGCGCCTCTTAGAAGATAAATATCGCTCACTCAAAGAGAAGTACATCAGACTGAAAACAGATGTAAAGATATCAATGGAGAGGCGGAAACGACGTGATGCGGGCGGGACCACAACAGGATCAGAGACTGAACGTTCTACATCACACAAGGCAGGGGCTGCC